TCCCAGCAGCTCAAGCTGCTCACTAAGATCACTGTTGCTATCGATAGCAGGGAGTAATGGAGACAGTAATAGTAGACTAAGAGCAATTAGCTATCAAGGTAGGACCGGGGCCAGCCTTGCACGCCCCAGCCCCCAGCTAACTGGAACCCCGGAGATGAGCTCTCTCGGGGGGACGGCGGATCCGCGCCCCCAGCGATATGCGGAATTGTTCCAGGATCCTGGCTCCAACCCGTTCGGAACCGACGCAAACCGGAGGAAAGACGCCTATGCGGCAATCTACCACAAGTTCCGAAGTACTGGACCTAACACCCCCACTGCACCGCAAGTCCTGGGGGAAGTACTAGACTTGTTCGAAGCTCAAGCTGTCGGAGGAATCGGAATATTCGTTAATGACAGCACCCTCGTCCCCCGGTTGCGAGTCATACATGGAATTCGACGCTACCCAGGGAGCTTGCTCAAYACMTCCCARAACTCCGGAAAGRTCTTCGGGTACCTCGATGACGTGGTKTCCGGRAGAGGGGARCTCGTGCAAGTTACCACCAGTATGTTTGCCAAAACCGGCACGRTCCGMGTCCTTGYMGGRGCCCAACACGCCATGGCKCTAGAGGSAGATYCCAYACTCCAGTTTGTGGGRCCACMTACTGAGACCRCGGYYAACACYGARGAGATARAGTGYCGCCACACMTTYTTYYTGCCTTACGARTTAGTCCCCTTYGTYATGGGGAAGAAWTTGAGCCCTCGAGAGGCYTACGTTATCATTCAACCMTGGCTYARYATGAAAGRGCTGGCGRAYGCYGCCTACCCTTTGCTTAATGCTTTAAGGATTGCCAGCACACGTGTTAACCCAGGAGAAGGAGCTGGGGCTATTTGCGAGATCTCAGCCACGGAACCAGGGCCYCTATTCCGTGCTGAGGCAGATCTCACGGTRTATATGGAGAAGAAGGTCCTACACCGAGAYYTRCCGGGTCTCGTMTCTRTCCCCGCGTTCGTAGGCCCGGAAACAGCWGCYYTAACTGCAGCMGTATCTACACTTACGGATAACCAACTAAAGGCTAATGAAGCCAACGAACGACGCCGAGCCGAGGAAGCTAAGCCCCCCTCCTTAGAAGAGGTGTTTGGCACYATTAATACTARAMGACTGCTAACACTKTGCCAAKYGGACAGCCCGGAYCAACTKCCACCAGTCTACCAMGGTTGGACACARAAGAAGAAAGGGGAGAAGCTGCATGCTCTCTTTCAAAGCTACGTMGACCARGCTGGACGMGAGCTRACACTACCCTCCCCCTTTGTRCCTACCTCCATACTAAAGACYTTCCAAACGTTCCGGTTCTACGGAGTGGACGAATGYGAGTTAGGRGAYGGTATCCTACCCATGGCCTTTGCACCACCGGGAGGWTCCCCTACWGCYCGAAGAAAGGAACTGGAGGATGCACARGATGCCATTGCATATGAYACTCTYGTGTCCATWGAAGGAAAYTCCCTCAACCTCAGTGAYGCCCGTGTCCTGGGAAARGCAAARGGATACATWCCWATMGAATGGACCGAAGCTGTACTCCAGATAGAAGGGTACTTGCCAGTCCTCGCGGCCGTAGTTGGGGTAGAACACCCCGTAGTCCGGAGTTATCTGGCTGGACTAGAACGACTCAAAAAGATCCAGCTGGGACTTCGATACGCCATAAAGGATGAATGCGGGGACAAACTAGCCCCTGTCATCACCGTTTACTACTTCCAGATAAGGATCCGCGGTTGGTTGGAGGAGCAGTGGGATACGGACACTGTAGTGGAAGTCCCTAACTTCATGCAGGATTTTCGCATGTTCAAGCTAACTAAAACCCTAAACTGGTTGCCTGTCGTATCGGATGTACCAGCACTACAAGCCCTGCGGAAGCCGGCTACAGGGAACMTCACSACTAACGGCRRCAACAAAGGACCGARAGGWTCCAACACGACCRGTGGAAACAGGTCMCGSGGAGGRCAAGGGAATAACACCCCMCAGCCGTCATCGCAGAGCCGAGTGGAGAACCCCCACCAAGACAGTCGGTTCGCCGCAGCCAGTGGCGAGTTTGGGACACGAATCAAGACCTGGAAAATAGCTAAAGCAATGGCTGCAATGAAAACCAAAGGGAAGGGCCCTTGCTTGCGGAATGATGAAAAGGAAATGTGCCACTCCTGGCGCGCTAAAGGATTTTGTTACGACGGGTGTAAGCTCAAGTATGACCATACAGAATCCCCCCAGGATGAAAGAGATCGATTTTGGGATTGGTGCCAGGAGGCTTATGGCACTGAATGAGGAGGGGGCAGGCAGCCCGCTCTTCTAGCTGCTGCTGAGCCTGTGACCTCCTCTAAAGTACGGAAGGTAGTGTCAAAGGATGTAGCCGCTAATAGGAGCCTAGCCCAAAATTGGGGCTCCGCCAGCGGGGAGGGTTTTCCCCTCCCCGTAGAATTAGGTAAGAATCCTACGCCCGTGTTTGAATCGCACCTACATAGCCCGCAAAGGGAATATAGCACTTCCCCCGGGCTCACCACCGCACTACCAGAGAGCCGAGACTCCGTGGAGGACCGGGGGCCCGAGCTCCCCCAAGAGAACAGCGCCGGCGTTCGAGACCCGGCCCCCTCCCCTGGTAACGTGACAACCAAGCGGAAGGGAGCCGAGTCCCCCTTTGCCGCGGCTCGGCTGAGCAAGTCAACCCGCCGGTATCCGCCGGATAGGCTGGATGACCACATCCAAAGAGCAGTGAAAGCTTACTATAAGGCCCCATCGTGGGGGGATTTCATACGCTCAGTGAGGGGGAGGGGGGATCTGCACCCCGGAGTAGGAGATCTCCCCCACCCCGCTGCCCAACTCCTGCGGAGATACCAGGAGGAGGGGACCCCCGCAGAAATGTCCCCTCCTCCGTGGAACCAAGCAAGGATCGCGGCAGCATTAGCAAGGGGACCACATAAGTCTTCACGGCAAGGGATCGAATTCCTCCGGGAAGAGTACGCTGATATGATGGACAAGCAACAATGGACAGTATTGCCTGCTCGCCTCGTTGCGGACCTCCCGGGCCTCCGCCTCAGCCCACTCGGTCTGGTCCCACAGCGGGGACGCAGGGACCGCATGATATCTGATTACAGCTACTTTGGTGTAAATAGCGACACGGTCCCCTTGGCCCCAGTAGAAGCCATGCAGTTTGGCCGCACACTGAAACGCTTGCTGCAAAAGATCCACCGGTCCAACGATATCTTTGGACCGGTGTACATGTCAAAGATTGATCTCTCAGATGGCTTCTATAGGCTGTGGGTGAAGCCGGAGGACACTCTTAGCCTCGCAGTCTTGTTTCCAACTAGAGAGGGAGAAGAACCATTAGTGGGGATACCACTTACCAACCCCATGGGCTGGTGTTCTTCCCCCCCAAACTTCAGTGCATGTACTGAAACAGTGGCCGACCTAGCCAACGACATCCTCAGGGAAGCCGGGGGGCTCCAACAGATGAGGGAGCTCCCCCATAGGTTGGATCTCCTCTCCGAAACACCAAGCGAGGAGGACCCCCCCGAAGAAGACCTCACCTACGTAAGACTCCCAACGAAGGGAGCCTCCACACCAGTAAAGCAACCCATCCGTTACTGGGATATATATGTCGACGATTTTTGTGGGCTAGTTCAAGGGAACCGCTGGACTCGCCGAGCCGTGAAACGGGCCCTCCTCCACTCACTAGACAGGGTCTTTCGACCCTTAGATGGGGAAGATACACCTTATAGGCAGGAGCCTGCCTCAGTGAAGAAACTCAAGAAGGGGGATGCCACGTGGGCAACCTCAAAGGTCATCCTGGGCTGGTTACTGAACACACGAAACAAGACTATCAGTTTACCTGCTCACCGCGTGGAGAGGTTACACGACGTGTTGGGATCCATCCAGCCAGGCCAGAAATATGCCTCCGTCCAAGAGTGGCACAAACTGTTGGGGGAGCTTAGGTCCATGTCCATTGCCTTGCCTGGTTCACTAGGACTGTTCTCCATACTGCAGGAAGCCCTACAGCACCAGGAGAAAGGGCGCAACCGATTGCGCCTAACAGGAGCCCTACATAGTTTCCTGGAAGACTTTAGATGGATTGCCCGAGATATCACGTCCAGACCTACACGTATAGCGGAGCTCGTTCCGGACGTCTGGCCCTCCACCATCGGGGCTTGTGATGCATCTGGAGAGGGGATGGGCGGTGTACACTTTGTCCCTTTGCCAGGAGGGAAGGTGCAACCACTGTACTGGAGAGCCCGATTCCCTGCCTGGATCCGGAGGGAACTGGTCTCTTTCTCAAATCCCGCTGGGACCATCACTAACAGTGAGCTAGAGCTGGCTGGCTCCGTAGCACAGGTAGACGTGTTGGCACAGGCTGCGGATGTAACAGAGCGGACCATACACAATCTGTATGATAACACCGCCACTGTATACTGGCAAAGAAAAGGGGCAGCCACCACTACCGGCCCAGTAGCCTACCTCCTACGCCTACAGGCCCTACACCAACGTTGTTACCGCTATGTGCCACTGCATGATTATATTCGGGGGGAGTCTAATGTAATGGCAGATCAGCTCTCCCGTGCTTGGGACTTATCAAACTCACAACTGTCCGCTCACTTCAATCACACTTATCCACAGAGCTTACCCTGGAAAGAATGCCAGCTCAGGAAGCCCATGTATTCCATGCTGATCTCAGCGCTGTCCAAACGACGATGCGATCCAGCGTTACTCTTGGATACTCCCGGAAAAAGAATGCCCATTGGGATTGCTGGCTTAAGTTCTGCTTGTCTCACCACATCGACCCGTTCCTCCGTGCAACCAGGGACCCCGTCCCCTATTTGCAAGTCTTTGGCGCCCGTTACCATGACGGGAGAGTCTCCCCCAGCCGTAAGTGCTCAAGAGCTCATACAGTATCGGACGCCATCAGGTCAGTGGGCCAGACGCTCACCCGCCTGGGGTCCCCTGATCCCAGGCTCAACAGCTTTGGCTCAATAGATTACCGCCTCAGTGCTCAACTGCGAGCCTACCGTAAAGCGGACCGGCCCCCTTCCCGGGTGCGGCCGGTTCCCATTACGATCATAATACGTGCCCTCAATTTCGCTTACCATCACCAGCCCACACCGGAAAGGAAAGCAGTAGCCAACATGATGTGCCTGGCCTTTTTCTTCTGTTTACGACCCGGAGAGTACACTGGCACTACCACTGATGATCAAGCGTTTTCACTGGATGATGTTGCCTTCTTCATTGGCTCTAGGCGATTGAATGCAGCCGCCGCGTCCAACGCTGAACTCAATGCAGCGACATCCATCCAATTAACCTTCACCACGCAAAAGAACGGAACCAAAGGAGACGTTATCGCCCACTCTAGAAGTGGGGATCCGCTGTGTTGCCCAGTCACAGCAGTCATCCGGCAGTTCCTGACCCACCGTGAACACGACAACTACGAGGGAGCCATCAAACTCGCGAGTTACTACAATGCCCACAATATCAATGTCCGAGTAACAGCAGCCATGATAACAACCACCATGCGGTGGCACGCTGCCATACTCCAACCTACCACGGGTATCTCACCTGGCTCCCTCAGCGCCCGTTCTTTACGAGCCGGAGGAGCAATGGCGCTCCTCCAAGGAAAATGCGATTCCAACGTCATTAAACTGCTTGCGCGGTGGCACAGTGATGCCATGATGAGGTACTTGCACCAACAGTCTGTCCCCCTCTTCCGCAGCCTCGCAGCTTTAATGTTCAACAATGGGACCTACAGCTTCCTTCCTGAGGACACCGTCCCCTCCGCTTCCGCGTAAGTCATCCGCTTCCGCCTAAGTCCCCGGCTCGCCTCGCCGCTCCGTGTCTCTCCCCTCCATCCGCTACCTGCATTCCCATTCATCCCGACCCTCGCTTTGCTCCCTCCCGGTGGCCTCTTGGCCTTATGGCAGCTAGTAGTAAGTACAGTATGCGGAGGCCGGTGGGTTGGATAAGCAGGCTCAGGGATCCAAAGCACTTGCGTCCCCTCCACGAAAGGAACCC